AAAAACATCATTGCCGCTGTGCCTTTTCATCAAAAAATTGTAAAAGAGAACTTTTTTGATATCAAAAATTTTCGTAATTTGAAGCAAAGATCGTATTTTTTCTTTTTGAATGCTTAAGTATTCCAATATGCTACCAATTAAACATGGAACAATTTCAAAATAATGCTTAATAACAAAGATAAAATTCGATATTCAACTGTTAATATCTTATCTTAAATTTTGGAAAAAAACATTTTCAATATTTATCTCGTACTCCCCAAGGGAGCCCCTATGACCCCTTAAAAGGAATGACGCCAATTTTGAATCACCCTGTATTTAAATATCAATGATTAGAAAAGATAAGATAAGAATATCATAATCAATAATTAGGAAAAGTTTACTAATTAGAAAAAACTTTTACGTTCAGTCAAAATAACACGCTGAAAAGTTTTCCGAGCTTATAGTAGGATTTCCTCCTGGCTTTCTGTTCACACTTGTGGTGAACACTATCTAACAAAATGAAGTAGCGATCGAATTTTTGGTCTTCCGTGTCTCTCTCCGATGACTGGCTCGTGAGTGAATATACGGGGTGATTCAAAATTTGCATCATTCCCTTTAAAGGGTTTTAGGGGCTCATTTGGAGAGTACGTGATAGATAATGAAAATTTTTTTCGAAAATTTCTTGATGTTCATAATCGAATTTCAACCTTGTGATTAAGTATTATTTTGAAATGGTTCCATGTTTGATTATAATATATTATTGAAATACTTCTTCTTCTTCTTTAAGTGCCATATTCTCTCCGAGAGCGTAGGCGACCTCTCGCGCATACTTATGGAACGCATCGTCCACAATATGGTCTTTGCATAGAATTTATTTTTGATTAAAAACATACTAGAATACAAGTTTTGTTACATATAAATACACTACAAAAGCAATCCAGAAAAAAAAATATTTTGGCATTTAATGGGCTTTCAAAGTGGCGTCATGCGAAACCGCTATGTGATTGGTCTGACGTCACAGTATACGGTCGGCCTGCGCATAGCGTTGTGTTCATTTAAATCGTATGAGCGTCTGTACAGTAAAAACCTGGGTTTGCTTGTGCGATTAATGCATGCGTCTGAAGCATAAATAAATTTATGGGTTTACTAGCGCGTCGACGTCTAGCGTCTGAAGTGTGACGCAACGTCGGAACTCAGGCACTGCTATCGAGACCAGTCTAGCGGCAAGACGCAAGCAATTTCACTGCAATATTTCTATTTATTTGCCGTCGACATGAAACAAATTGATTTCTACTTAAGCGAAAATCAGCGTGGAATTCAGTATCATCTATATATCGATGTTTGTACATAGAATGATGAGGTTTTCTGTTTGTAATTAATAACGGAATCATGGTTTCATTATCTTGTTCTTCTAATATAAGAGCCAATGCAAGCTCCATGATGCTAATTAATTAACTACTCAAATTTTCCTTTGCACTGGACTACACTTTTTAGACGCACAAGAGAACCCACCTACGACGCATGCGATGTACGCTGCAGCCGTTGCTTGCATCAGACGCATGCATCAATCGCACAAGCGAACCCAGGCCTTTACCTCGGCTTGTGTTTCATTAGTTTATTGTTATTGTTTTATAGATTATTGTGAAAAATGCACAGTACGCCTGGTCCCGCTGTACACGCTTATTTTTATCAGCAGAATGAGGTTTCCCTGTAATATTGGGGTTTCCCTGCATCACAAGGTTTCGGTATTGCCACTCTTAGGCTAAACCCAGCTGCTGAGAGCAAATAAGCTTGAAACCGGTTCTGGTAGGCTGCCTGAGGTTAGCGCACCTCCAAATCTGCACGTGCTTAGATAGATCATAAGCTCATGACGTGTGCGATGATACCGAAAAGTTTAATATTTCAATTATATTGTCAGTGATAATTAAATAGATCTAGTTAAATAAAATCAAAATCCCAACTGAAACAATGCAATAATTGACGAAAACAAAAAAATGTTTACTATTCAAAAATTTAATTCAGCAAAACTAATATTTTCAGATCGAGAGCATCGAACACGAGAGCACAGAAGACATAAATCTAAGGACGAATTGGACTCGTCACGTCACTACAAACCCGAAAAAGACAAAGAAGAGAAAACTGAACCAAATGGAAATATAGAACAAGAATTAGACTATCTTCCAGCAGATGAAAATATGCAAACTGTCACAGATGCAACTAAGCAAAATGCAGACCCGACCGAGGCTAAAAATGACGGGTCGAGCAGAGAAAAAAAGCCTGCCCAAAGACACAAGGGTGAGTATAAATTTAGCTGTCTTATGGATATAATAATGGGACACTACCATTACAGACAAACATAAACATAAAAAGAGCGATGCTGAATCTCAACCCAGCACAAGTCATGTTGTGAAAAGCTCAGATAAATTAAAAAAAGGTGGTCGAACATCGAGCAAAGAGAAGAAACTTATCAGAGGTAGAGCTACTTGCGATGAACCAATTGAAGTAACTGCAGAAGGTGAAATCAATATTAATTTTAACCGGTTAATTTTTTACGCAATATCTTTATTTTAAGTCTCCTAAAGTTTTTATTTTATTAACTTTTAGTTACTATCATTTAGTAATGTTAGTTAACATGTTTAATCTAGGCGATTCAAATGAGTCGGAAACCCACATCTCCAAGGATTTACCAATCACTACTGATCGGAACGGTACAAATTTCAAGAATGAAGATATACCATCTCCCGCTGATTCAATTGAAATAATCGACAGAAAGCAGCTTTTGAGTGTTAAGCCGCCAAACATTTTAGTATACGCTGACAGTACAATAGCAAAAGAAAATGTCAAAGAAGTCCTAGCTACGATCCTAAATAAAGAAAAGTAAGTGGAAAGTTGTCGCTTATACAGCCCCAACGTAACTCTCTCATTCTAGATATACAATTTATGATCTTCCTCTTACTGGGCCGATGACGTGGAAAGACTCGACAACATTAGTTGTGGTTTGTGGGAGTGTAGATGCAAAAGTAACTTCAAACTTAATGAAATTTTTGTTAGGCGGTGGGCAACTTCTATGTCTTTGTAGCGATTTGCTTTACAGTGTATTGCACACGTTTACAACAGCCGAGGTAACAATTTTTTAGTGGTTTCCTAATAGTTTGACAACATTTTTAGATAGATGCCACAGATAAGCAACATAAATTAAACTAGAATAATTTCTATATTCTCGCGTTCATTTGTTAGGTCAGAGAACACGAATTGGTCCGTTTTTCTTATGGAAAATGGAAGAATGTAAAAATGATGCACCACATATTTTGCTATCAAGCTTCGCCGGCGAAGAAACAATTTTCAAAAGATTCCGACACTTCCAATCATAGCAGTGGTAATGGGTCCAGTCCCATTGCCCCTAGGACTCCTTCCACCGTGGAAATTCAACATAGTGGCATAGACTATACCATACAAGTGCAGGTATTGGGAGCTGAAGAGACCTGGCAAACACCCAGTCTTTTATTGGCCACTGTTAAAAGCTCGGACGGCAGAGCTGTATTTTCACAGGTACAGTTTTATTTATTCTATTCAATATTGGAAGGTGGAAATTATGAAATTATACTGTGTGTCTCACGGTCAGCGTCCATTAAAATATTTCGGGAAGTATATAATGCGATTTGAATATGATTTTCGCACACGCTCTCTTCAGATGAAATAACAGCGCCAGTATGTGACTTCCGGTTATACCGAAAATTGTCTCACATTTATTTTCAATGGAACACCCTGAATAATGAAATAGGTAAGTGCAGATTTCGAAATGCGCCAACCTATTAACTCTCGTCAGCTGGGTTCAGCCTGATGTTCGCGGTTTCCAAACCTACACTTTATAACGTCAATTAGAGATGAGCTAAAGTGTGATTTTAAACTCACTATTATAACTGTGAATGTATTTTTGTACTGTAAATTTAACCTGTGAATGTGATTTCACTTGTGATTGCCATTGTTTCATTATATGGCAGCGTCATAAGGTGATGGGCAATTGTGCGTCACTTGCAGAAACAATAGTAAAACATTTGTAATTCAGATTTTTTAAATAAATAACTTTATTTAGGGATACAACAAATAATATTTTATACTTAAAACACAAATGATTTTAAGGATACTGAAAAATAACAGTCTCTGCAACTAGCAACTGGCTACACATTTTGTAAACCCCTGTCCTCTAAAAGTTCTAAAAACATTCTGGAAAAAAAATAAACAAACAAAAATAAAAAAGGAACAAAAGTCTATTGTTTTACACAGAACGATTAGCGTTCAATAAAGTAACTTTAATTTTTGATCTAAAAAAAAACTATTTGGGTGAAAATAGGTACAAAAATATTATTTTGCTACTCTTCGCGAAAATTTTCACAATTTATTCATATTGTAGGATGTTGCATTCCATGTGCCGTTTTAAATTCGAAAAAATGAAGAAAACAGAAACACTAAGCGTATTCCCAGAAAATTATTTAAAAATTACACAAACAGGTTACTGATACACAATCAGAATACGGCTAATGAATGGTATATACTGAAATACGATTCCCAAAAATCAATAAAATCCAGGCTCAAGGAAACCCGTGAATGCTATGTCATTAACGAACAAAATAATTTCATTCGGATTTGTTTTGTCGTCGGGCCACATGTGCAACATATGATCAATACACGCAACTCGCAATAGTAGCATTAGCAGTGAAAATATAAGTCGCTCTATAATATCACGTTTGGGTCAATCACGTTTTAGATCACCGCTCCCACCAAATGCGCACATGTGCGTAAAAGTCCGTGCGTAAAAGTAAAGCAAATGAACAGTAAAAAAAAGTGCTTCTGATAATCGCTTCTGATCGAAAAATGGCACTTAGATTCATTCGAATAAAAACGAGTTTTTCCTAACGTTTTAATCTAGAATACTGCCAAAAAGTCTCATGCAAAAAAAATTAAGAGATCAGTTTTACAAGAAAACTGGTGGTCTTTATAGTTTGGCCTTCTCTATCTTCAACAAACAGTTTGTGAAAAATATAATTAACTATTTGGAAAATTCGTCATCCTCATCGCTCTGAGGAATTTCCTTCGTTCCACCTGAAGGTCCTTCAGTTTTTGCGGTTTTTTTCGTTTTAGATTTTTCGTTCCTGCAGAAAGGATGATTCCGTGAACTTTTAGGAGTTGGCGCGGTGCTGCACCAGCGACACGGGCGCAGTAACTCAGTTCCGTTGCTGGGAAAGAGTTCATAAAATTTTCTTTTTTTTGTACTTGTTTGGACAAAGTGGTAAAACATTATTTATACAAAATTTGTATAACCTTTTTTTTTTAGATGTAAAAAACATTCCAGTCTTGTGTCTCGTAAAATCCGCTTTAATTAATGACTTATAACTCATTAACCGATGAGTTATAAACTCATTATCTCAGAGAGCAGCAACAACTTAAAAGCCCAACACAACACAGTGTTACCCAGGCCTAGAATATTTATTTATAATAAGATCAAGCAAAAAATAAACATCCTACAGGGTGTTTAAATAGTGTCATGTTTTCTTGGTTAATGTCTAAATCCTTTTTGCATTTCTGGTGGCTTCAATTTTTCCCAAAATAGAGCTATAATTCGATAAAGAAATTAGTCGAATCGGATCACCGACTGAGAAAATTTACACAGTCAAAAGTTAGGGAATATTTAAGGTATACGTACAATTTGCAGTATTTTATGCAAATTGAGTAGTCAATGAAGCGAAGCGTCCCTTGTATGGCAAACAAATCGTAACCTGAAGCCGCTCTCTAAGTTAATGAGTTCTAACTCATCGGTTAATGAGTTATAACTCATTTACCGATGACCGAGACTGGAATTTTAGCATCTAACAAAAGGTCATCAACTCCTAAAAACTCACTGAGTTACCTTTTCCGTAGAAACGATTGCTTTAAAATATTTGATCTAAAATGGAAAATTTTGAAGAAACTTAAAAATTCTTCGGGACGATGAGGGTGACCATGTGAGTTTTCCAAATKKTGGATTATCTGCTTTTGCTTGTTCTGGTCGTTTTCTGGAAAGACTATATTTTATTCGAAAAAAAAGAWACAAGATAATTTTGTTTCCATTTTGTCCSAAATTCAAAGGTAAAACGGGTATTCGAAAAAGACGATAAAGAAGATCAAATTAAAACGGACGAGTTWWCTGGTAAAATCAATCGATCTCTTAATTTTGTTGTATAAAWGACACTTAGTTTGCCAGTTTTTAACAKTGAAACGTTAGGAAAAAATGCATTTTTCTGTTAGGAGAAAGTTTTGTTTAGAAATATTGTCCTAAAAGCGAAGAAAGCGGAATTAAAAAAAGACAAATTATTCACAGTGACGAAGATGACGGGTTTTCCAAATAATTGATTATAAACATTCGCTTGTTCTGTTCGGGGAAATATTGTAGAGCAAAAATCCAGAAAAAATTATTAGGATTTTGTCCAAAGTTCGAAGCTGCGAAAGTTGTAAAAACATTTTTACAAAGCTGTTATGGAGGCGAGTGTTCCAATAAAATTTATTTTTATATAGACTGTCAGTATTTTTAAGTAAAACTAAAAAATTATGCGTTTTTGGCGTAGAAAGAATCGCTTGATAAAATCTTTGCTAAAACTAGGAAGACCTAAGATTTTAAAGAAGCATTAAGACTCTTCAGAGCGATAATGGTAGCGAATTTTCCAAATATTTTTTTATAAACTTTTGCTCGCTGGTCGTTTTTCAATATAATCTTCATTACTCGCTAGAAAACTAAGTAAAATTATCTGGTTTTTRTGRCAAATTCGAAGCTGAAAGGGGTTTTCTAAAATTCCCTGCAAAGCGATGAATAAGGAGAATGTTGTTACAAAATTAATTTTGTMATTTTTCTCTAAATGAACCCCATGCTTGTCRAAAGCTTTTGATTAAAAACTTTTAGTTTTGTAATCGATTTTTGAGAAAACCTTAATAATTTTCGKGAAAAAACGGGAGAATTTTGTTTTYGTTTTCGTCCCCAATTCGACACTGAAAAAAGTTTTGTAAAATTCCTACTAAGCTCTAAATTTATCGTGCAATTTTTTCACGTAAAAGACTTCCAGATTGTCAGTATTTTTAAGTGAAACTCTTCAAAATAGAGCGTTTTTGAGTAGAAAGTAMAGYARAAAAAATTCACTCAAAACTAGGAGCACAWTTTTTTTTAAACTAGTCTCCAGAGAGATGGGGGTGACGTGTTTTCCAAATAATGTGTTACAAACTTTCGCTGATTCTGTTCGTTTTTTGATAAAAAATTATTTGATTTTTTTTCGAACCGGAAACTGATTTCAAAACTTTTTGTAAAGCGGCGAAGGAGGCAAGTGTTCTATTAAAATTTATTGGATACTTTTTCGCAGAAAATGCCTTCATATTGGCAGTATTTTAACAGCGACGTTAAAATTTAATTTAATAAATAATAATAAAATTTAGAAAAAAGATAACATTTTCCCAGTAACGGATTCGAGCTACTGCGCCGGTGCGTTGGGTTGGCGTACCAAGCCTTTTGCGCCGCACTGCGCCAACTCCTAAAAATACGCTGAGTTACCCAGGTTTACGTTGTATGTCTTAGGTAAAATCATCATCATTACTGGCGTTACAACTCTTCGAGAGCTTTTGCTGTGTTTTCCACTGCATAATTCGAATGGCTTTTTACTGATTTGCAAAATTAGTTAGTTTTAATAGCAGTTTCTATGCATTGTTACAGGTACATTTGGAAATAGACCCTTGTGAATATGTGGACGATGAAAATAAGTTCGAAGCTCTCAAAGATAGCAACCCGGCTCGTCTTGACATCTTCCGAGACCTCCTAGAGAATCATTTGGATTTGGATTGTGACAATTCAACTGAGACACCCGCTTTTACACCAGCCTACTTTCTGGGCAGACATGACTTAAAAATAAACATGCTAAACGAGACACATTGCATTAAAGACTATGAAATGAAAGCCGCAGATATGCACATTGTATTTTGCGGTAAAGATGACCGCTACGACGCACCGAGCCGCACATTTTTGCCCATTCTTATTTATGCATGTCCGCAAAATTTCAACACTGTGAGCTACTTCGAGACATTGGATACGAAATATATTGGAAGGCTGGTTATTTACAGTGACGTTCTGACCAGTTCGCATGTTTTATTGCAACATAATCAGGTCACGCACGGCGTCGCAGTCATTTGTCGCCAACAATTAGGCGGACTTGGTAAATATGGAGTTATTTAAATAATTTTTTTAAATTTATTTTCCTGACTGCGTGAAATTGTTATTATATTCTTTTTCTTCCTGGGTTTCAGTCAAAGTGTGAAATAAAAATGTGTATATCGTTATTTCATAACGTCTCGGCGAGACAACAGCGCCATCATTAGATTTAAAATTCATACAAACTGATAATTGCTAAACATTCTTTTATGTCTTTGCTGTTTTGAAACCTTTGTTGTTTAAAGAATGGTTTTAAATTGTTTTGGTTGTATTTATTGTTTAAGGATTTTTATGTATTTATAATTTTCTTGTTGGTATCGTTTATTTTGGAAAAACAGTCACTCAGCTATATTTAAAGATAGATTTATTAAAAGATATAGATATATTTATTAAAAGATAAAGATACAGAAATATTTAACACTTGCATATAAAAACATTTAGTACTTTCAAATAATTTTCATTATTTTGCTTTCTCCCAAAATTAATGTTTCAAAACAGCAAAGACTCAAAATAATGTATTGTTTACCAATTGTGAGTTTGAATGAACTTTAAATCTGATGATGGCGCTGTTGTCCCGCCGAAACGTTATGAACAAAACGATATACAAATTTTTAATTCACACTTTGACCCAGGAAGGGAACGCAGGAAGGAAAAGAATATAATAGTTATTTAAATAAGTTGTTCCACATTTTATTGCTTTTAATTGCAGTATTTAGAGACTAGCAAGTGTAAACATATTCATTTTTTAAGTTTTTTTAGAAAATATTTATTTTACAATTCTAAAACATGCCTTTAGTATGAATTAAGCTGATTACAATTCACTTTAATCAGGGAGGTCGAAAAATAAATGGCTAAGTCCTCGAGGAGGAGCCTTCTTCTCCTTGCAACTTCACATTTCTACCATCACCAATCTGGGCAAAACTCCAGGATTGATGCAACACCTGATTATGGTTGCAGTAGTTAAGGCCGTGAAGAGACTCACAGGAAATAATCAAGTAAGATAATCTGAATTAAATCTTATTATTATTCTATGTCTACAAGTTGAGCGAAAGAATTGAAGCTAATTTTGGACTTCATCAAATGAGGTCTAAAAAATCATATATCACACTTCTTGTCTAAACAATTTTATTTTTTCTWTGTGACTAAAAATATTTATTATTTAAATTGTTTCAGAATATTAAATTAGGAATAAAATGGCCCAATGACTTGTACGTGAATGGATGTGTTAAAGTAGGGGGGGCAATGGTTACTTCAGTAACACTCGGTGAAATGTCTTCAGTTAATATAGGTATGAAATAATCAAAATGCAAAGCGTAAATATTTAGATTTATTTTCTTAAGGATGTGGCGTCAATTTAGCGAACTCCAATCCTACCACATGCATAAATGATTTAATTAGAAAAGTGAACGAGGAAACAGGAACTAACATTCCGGAAATCTGCCATGAGCGATTTTTCGCGCAGGTCTTTAACGAAACAGAAAAGCTGATCAACAGGTTTCAAATTGGGGATGCTGACTACTTTTTCGATTACTACTACGAATACTGGCTGCATATGTAAGTATACATTTAATTATTAAAATGAAGTTTTAGTAATTAGAATGCATTTAACGACCAGAGCAGGGACGAGCAACACGCGGCATGTTTATCCGGCCCTCCATGCATTTCTAAAATTGAATCTATTTTATCGACTTTATCCCATTCAAATATTGTTATAAAATTAATTATAATAAATCGGTAGTACAGGGTGTAAATTGATTGAACTTTGGCCATCCCGATTTTGCATTTAATTTTAAATTTCGGAAAAATGTTACATACAAAAGTTGTAGATAATAACGTCTAATTTATTTTAGGATAACATGATAGAGGGTGTCTCAAATTCAAGTGACAGATCAAACTTACCTTTTTTTTTTAATAGAATGCCGTACTTTTTGTTACATATTCCAACTATTCGTACAATTCTAGGCCTATTCGATATAAGTATTCTGTATTGGTTTTCAACTGTTTTTGAGTTAATAACCAATATTGATTAAAGTAAAGAGACTAGAAACCGCGCAAACGCAGAGATACGAAGGATTAAACGAGAGTACTGGAAAAAATTCACCAACGATATGCAACACGATATATATGGAGCTCAACGGAAAGTATGGAAGATGCTTAAAAATGGAAAATAGCCTGTGAACGAATACATTCAAACTAAAATTTTGTCACTGCACAATTGGGAGAGATATTTTAATGACCTGTACGATAACAACCAACACACAAAGGTGAGGGCTGAGCAGGCAGAAAAAGGAGAGGAGGTACCAATATCATTCACGGAAGAAGTAAAAAACAAAACAAAAAAGCTTAAAAATAGAAAAGCACCGGGTGTGGACAATATACCCAACGAACTTCTAAAGTATGGCGGTAATAAACTCACAAAAAAACTAACGCATCTCTTCAATGGAATATTAAGCTTACAAACAATCCCCGACGATTGGCACAAGAGCTTCACCATACCCATCTTCAAAAAACGACAAAAAACCAACCCAGAAAACTACAGGGGTATAACTCTTCTATGCTCCTCGATGAAATGCTCCAAATGCCGGTCTTTCAATAATTCAATTTTAAATTTAGCGCCATTTATATTTGTCTGAATTTCACTCAGCTGCAGTGGTTAATGCACAACGCCAAAACTAGAGAAATCACTTAAACATGAAATTCCGAGCGATGATAGAAACCATCGCTAATCGTAATCAGAGGGGACGAAAGCGCAGAAGATGCTCGTCGGACCACGTAGAAAGGATGGACCCCGAAAGAATAGCCAAGATTGTGTCGAATGGAAATCCAGCTAGTAAAGACCCATCGGAAGACCACCGAAAAGATTGAAGAAATTTTTGTTGGACATTCATCTCAAAGTAGAATAAACAACATTGACCAGACGAAATAAACAGACCAAAGGGTCTTTACAAAGAATAAGAAGACGATTAAAGTTAACGAACTCCATTAACCGGTGTAGACCCAGCCGGAAATTTTTGCACTCTGGACGAGTCAATTATGAAGAAATTTTGAAAATTTTGACACCAGATTGTACCCACATAATGGCGCTATCTCGTCGTGAAACCTCAGGATAATTTTGAGGTATCTCAATTGMAGGTCAAAGTCAAAATTCTTGAGTTTGAYATTATTCGGCGTTTTTGACATTCAAAAAGCAAAATGAAAATGTTGCTCCCATAAGATCCCATGTMAAGCGAAACATTGAATGTTTATAGCTAACCAACGAAGAGCTAGTCRCACGYGAATCGAAAAATTTGTCCCCAAAGTTTTGCAGGAYTATAGGAAATCAATTGCTCGCTTATTATCRATCGGAGCGAAAAAATGAATTCCAACTTTTTTATGGAGCTTTAGACTAGGGCTCGGAATTTTTTAAAATCTGATATTCGAATATTCGTTTAGTGGTTTATTCGAATAGTAAAATTATTCAAATTCTCGAATATCTAACGAATATTCGAATAATCGAGTATTCGAATATTCGAGTATTTCTATTCGTATTCGTTACATATCCGAGTGTTCGTTTTCCGTTCACCGTTTTCCAAAAAKAAAAATCGTWATCTCATATCATTTTTGGCAACTAACCGCAACGGATAAAAAAGTGCCTTTGTCGGGACATTAATTGTAACACCGCGCAAAAGTTGATGACGCGAATCACCAGAAGACAGTGAGGTAWTTTTATATTCATTTGCAGGAGGGTAAATGATTATTTTTATTTGCTTGTAAATATATGGTTATTTGTTTAAATGCTTGTAGAATATGAATAATTTTATTTYATAAAAGTATACAAAGTGCATATTAAGATATTTGCACCTTGTGAGTTTGATAATGTTGGTGTATTCGAGTATTCRATTATTCGAGTATTCGAATATTCGGATATTCGAATATTCGAGTTATGACTACACATAATTATTCGCTTTTTGAATATTCGAATATTCGAATACTCGAATTATTCGAGTTTRCTTCCGAGCCCTACTTTAGACGGCCGACCGACCGGATTCACTTGAGCTCTTTTGGTTATCGGAAACTCGGGGATTTTCTCGAAAACTTTGAAAGCTAGAAAGCTGAAAAAAATACCGTTGGATTGCTCGATGGGCCGGAGATTTCATAAATAATAACTTTTCTGAACCGATGATTGAAGCGATGAGAAAGCCTCGTTTTTGTGAAAAATAAATAAAATGTAAAATTTCTGAAAAAAAGGTTTCATCACAAAAATGTTTGGCAATTTTTTTTGTCGAACTTTCCTTTCTAAAAATTTCCTCTGTGCGCTTGAGGGGGAAGGCGAAAAAGTTTGTAAAGGCGGTTATTAAGGGGAAATTTTCAAAATTGAATGAAATTGTCAAATGACATTAGAATTAGTTGGAATTTTGAGTGAGTATTAAAAATACTGACGATCCGCAGGACTGTTACGTGAAAAATTACAAGATAAATTTAAAGCTTTGTAAAAATTTTACAAAAACTTTCAGCGTCGAATTTGGGACATAAATACATTCCTCCCGATTTTCCCCGAAAACCATTAAAGTTTTCTCCAAAACCGATCACCTTTTCTTCTTTTTTGACAATAATGGGGTCTTTTCATCCAAAAATTACAAATTAATTTTGCTAGATCAATTCGCTTCAATTATCGGTTTACAGGAAACTTTACAAAACCCATTTCAGCTTCAAATTTGGCACAAAAACCAAATAATTATATTCAGTTTTTTACCGAAAGTAATTTTCTTGAAAAATTCACCGCCCTCATCGCTCTGGAGAATTTTAAAGTTCCTTTAAATTTTCAGGTCATTCCAGTTTTATTAATTGTTTCTACGCAAAAATAGCATTATTTTTTAGTTTAGTTACTTAAAATACTAACTATCTGAAGAAGAACTTCAGGTCTGAAGGTATTTTCCGCTTAACCGATTTGCAAAAACTTTTGGAAAACTTTTTGCAGCTTCGAGTTATGGACAAAACCGTAATAACTATTTCTGCTTGTTTTTCCAAAAATATTTGTCCGAACTGAAAAAGCGAAAGTTTATAATCATTTATTTGGGAAACTCTTGGAAACCAGGGTTTCTTCAATTTTAGGTCAATGTTTCTAAACATCAATGTTTTTGGGTATTAACAAACTAACAGCTTCATTTCTTAATTAAATTACGTCATTATACAAGGTGATTCAAAATTGGCGTCATTCCTCTGGAGGTGTTGTCTGGCGCTGTTATAGGAGTACAGAAAAAATAGTAAAATAATTTAATTGTTATTAAAAACTGGGAAATTTCCAAAAAACTATATCAGAAATACGGCAGCAATGTTTTT